CCTTTCACAGAGAGGAAGTCATGCCAGTGTAAGCTTCCAGATCACCTCGGAGGTCCAAAGTGGGAGGTCCCCAAGGCTCTCCTTTTCTTCTTCAGGGAGTCTAACTCCAGCTATCTATGAAAACTCCAACATAGCAATTTATGTTGCCATCTTGGGTTTTAAAATGAAGCACTAACTTAGGGCTTAGTCTTTGGGCAAAAAATATTGAAACTTTTAGTAAGACTTTTCAGTTTTTTGTTTGTTATCCATTTATGGATTTATTTCGTTGACGTTTTTGATGATGATTTTCCTCAGCAACTAATCTACTTATTTCATTGATTTTTCAACTCCATATATTTACTATGCAAGTGGAAAAAAGTCTGTGAGACCCAAACCATGTCACTCCTTCCAGAAGATATACATACAATAATAGAAGAAATGACTTTCTGAGTCAACTATTTGTGATGGGATATCTAGATTTGTGTACCTTTTGGGGCAAACCCATCCCTTCAAATTCTAGTTGTTCTTTCTATACCTGTTATCCTCTGAGATTTTTGAAATATTTAAAAAATATTCATTTTTTAAGCACGTACTCAGTCTTGGAGTAACAGGTTACCCCCTGCTGTGTAAAATAGGTCTTCTTTATTGCACTTAAGTTTCTGTCTTTCAAGCTTTAAGAGGCCACATCTGACCCCTAACAAGGGAATTTGGCAACCAGAACAAATCTTGCATCAGTTGGAGAGATGAACTGTTTCTTCTCAGCAGGGAAGAGTTAAGCAGGGGGTAAAAGGGAAACTAGACTGCCTTTCTGTCACTCCTAAGTGAGGCCTTCCCAGTATGGGTCCCTTGTTTTGTTTAAGGATACTCCCAAAAGCATCAAACACTCTCAACTTCAATAGTAACTACAAAGAAAGTCCAAAACAGGATAGAATGAGTTCTTAGATTGTCTACTACATTGAATTTTCCAAACGAATGCTCTCCTCCATTGGATAAATAATTGACAGGGACCCAAAACACCAAGATTGACATGGTATATATTTTCTCAGTGTATCCGAATGCTTTGACTTAAATTTGTGTCAGGAAACCTCTGGATCTTGCCTTGGACTTAATTTAATCAAGGAGCAAATTTGAGGCATTGGGGAATTGACAGCTCTACGCTCTCAAAGACCAAAGATAAGATAATCACATAACTTTTGAATGTCAAATGGAATGGGCTGATGGCTCCATACATGTATTGACACTTCTAATATTCTGAAGTAAATCTCAGTTACTTAAGGTAGTCTCTTGGTTTTTCATCTGTAAAATGAGGGGTTGAACTAAATTCTTAATCTTGGTTGCCTATTAGAATCTCTGTAGGAAACTTAAAAAAATACATATGCCCAGGCTCCACCCCTACTCTGATTCAGTTGGTGTGTGGTGGCCCTAAGCATTGCTAGTTTTTAAAGTTCCCGTATGTGTGCAGGCAAGGTTGAGAATTTCTGGATGGAGACCTCTAAGGCCTCTTTTGGCTTGGATATGCTATGATTCTCTGATTCTGTGCAAGAATTTATGTGTTGAATTGTGGTGCATTTTATGTGGTGGCGTTGGAAGGTTATAGTGTAGAACTTAAAAGGGAAAAAATAAACAACTATGTAACTGGCTTTCAAGGATCTGTTAGATTTTTCCTCATTTAGGCAGGAGGCAGAGAGTTGAGTTAGTTCCCATAATGACAGTTGGTCAGGCAGATCATGAATATTTCTGCACTGTACAGGCCAAAGGGGGCCTTTATCTGCACAAAAGGGGTGCATGGGTGAGAATAATACCACACCATGAAGTCAAGATTAGGCCGATGGCAGGGCGCTCAGGAAGATACCTGAAGCTAGAAAACTGCCTGGCTAGGGTTGAAGAGGACTCTGGGAGGGAGCATAAGTTAATTGAGTCAACGGATTAAACAAAGTGGTCCAGTGTGCCCTCTGAAACAGTCCTCTAGTAGTGTTTTAAAGAAGATTCATTATGTAGTTTCTGTTTAAAATAAATCAAATTTTCATAACGATTGCTATTGGATGATCCAGAAAGTGTGCCTGGAGTAGCAGACACCTAATAGCAAAAGACGGGCTTCTCTACGGATGTGCCATAACATTATACCACAGTGACACAATTTCACACTTTGAGTATGTAAAATCAGCCTTAATTTCATAAATACTCTTTGAAATATGGAAGGAAAGCTAGATGAGCATACTGCTGGGGAGAAAAAGCTGTGAATGGCAGATGCAGTAGGAGCTACTTATGATCTGCTTTAACAGCCACAGTCTAGGGGAGAGGGGTGCGGTGGGCAGTAGTGCAACCCTGACACACTCAGAGAGAACCCATTGCACTTATCCTCTTTCTTCCTTCTCTGACTCCATCTGCCTCTCAAACCTCTCCCTGTGTTTTACTCTTTGTCTCATTTCTATTTCTCCCCCCGCATATCTTCCCCATTCATCTTCTTTTCCCAGAGCCTGTTTTTTCTATTTTCTCACCTTCCTCTATATCCCTTATAGCTTCCTCTCGACTCCTCTCATGTCCACCAACCATCTTCTGACTGTTCTCACAGAATCAGATCATCAAAACTAAAAGGGACCTAAGAAACCACCTAGGTCATTCAGCTCTATCAGTGAGGAAAGTAAGAGTCAGGCTAATTAAGTGGCCCCCCTACCAACACCTCTGTATTTGAGGAAGAGCCAGGTTTAGGACCTAGTTCTCTTGACTCTTAGCTGATACACCATGGCCTTAGTATGAAACTGATGGACTTTAAATTACTTCTAAAAACTTTAGTGGATAGAGTTTGATGTTTCTTCCTCTTAATTAAAAAGTGAATGATGAGTGAAGTATTTTATTATTCTTTCTCTTAAAAGAAAAAAACCCAAAAACAAAACAAATAGCGCATGTGTGGTAAAGATAAAACCTGCCCATTTCCTCCTTTTTCCTCATTATTCGTGAAGTAGGACAGACAGAGACACAATAAAAATGTGCTTATAAACTTTGTGAGAATTATTTAAATCTTAAAACAAACACACACAAATCCCCAAACCAAAGAAACCTATGAAAGTAAAGAGTAACAAAGTGAGAGATGGAAGACCTTGGTTCTTTTACTACCTAGCCTTATGTTCTTGGGCAAGTCATGTAATCTTTTCAGGATTCAGTACCTTTATCAAAATATGACAGAATTGGCCATGGGATACGTAAGACCCTTTCTGGCTCTCAAATTTAATGATTTGGTGGGAAAAAATCTGCTTAACTACCTAAGAAGCCAGAGGTAAGGTTAACCCCTGTCAGTAATGGGGCTGACTCCAGGAAGAACAAATCAGGTACTGGGTAGATGCAGAGACGGGGCTACCAGTACTGATATTCAATTGTGTACTGCACAAGGGCACCACATATAAGAGGGTACTGTAAGCATTTTAGACATTCTAACTTATATGAGAGTGGTGGAGGAGTGGGCAAAGAGATTCTGGTCTCCCAGCCTAGTTCTGGAATGAGGTGTAGGAGGACCTTCTCATATCTACATTTATACTAGCACACCAGACTACGTACATACACAGTCACTCTGTAACATATGTGCATCTGGCTATGTGTTTTCTTGACTATGCACCAGGAGTTTCTTGAGGTCACTCTTTTATTCTGCCTAATATACTTGGAGACACACTTTCAGCTTCTCAACTCCACCTCTACA